ATCTTCCCTAGGAAGACTTCCGACCCTCACATAGTATTTTATCTCTGCTCTTAATCAAACCAGGCGGATAGAATTTCAGACATGAGCAGGGTTCACCCACAATTCAAAGGGATGGCGGAAGCCATGTTCCCTACCTTAAACAAAGCAGAATACGGTAGAATCAAATCAACGCTAGGTAGCTGTATCTGCAGCATGTCTCGCTCTTTCTGTGGGGGAAGGGGAAGAGAAGGAGTGTGATGGGACCGCAGGGTCAGACTTTGCAAAGGAGTCAGAGCTGTGAGGGCTTTAATGAGGGTGTTTGCACAGAGCACAGTGCAGGAGAGGACAAAAGGTGAGCAGGAGCAAAGCAGAAGAGGAAGCAAAGCCCAAGAGTGACAGGCTAATGGCTTCCAGGGTAAGAAGTTGTCCAAAGGAAGAAGAAAAAAGCAGCTCAGCAATGTTTGTCCCTAAGTGCAGTCACTTAAAACTGTAACCGAATACCCAACTGACCCGAGTGTGAGAGGCTGAAATCGAGCCAGGCTGAGAAACTGGCCTGGAAAAGGGCGGGGTGGGTCCATGTAGACGGACTTCGGCCCTGGCCACCCTACCCCAGGCCGACTTGAAGAGTTTCCACGGCCCTGGGCGCGTCTGTCCAGGGCTGCCTCGGCAGCTGCTCTCCTGGCAGCGCAGGGAGACAAATCCATGGCATGGCTGGGCCAACAGCTGCTACAGCTCCGGGGGAGGTGACGAGTGCCCGCTGAGACGCTCTGGGCAGAGAATGAACTATTCTAGGGATCAGCCCGAGAGTCAGCAAAATCGAGGCTACACTCCGCCGGCGGAATGAAAATACAGTACAACTGCCACTCCAGAGACCCGGGAAACCCACAGCCCTTCTTCTGTCCCAGCTTCTCTCACTCGGAGTGCCTCTTGCCCTCACGTTTCGATTTCCGAGGGCACGACTTCGGGTCAAGCCCATGTTAACCTTAGGCTCACTGCCATACCTTCTTAACAGGCCTCCGGCTTCCCCGTCTCTCTCCTCCAACTGATCTATGGTGTTGCCATAGTTACCTTCCCAAAGCACGGCCATAATTAGGTTCCTTGCTCAAAAACTACCAATGGCTCCCCACGCTTACAGAATAAACCCTGTTGCCTGGCACTCCCGGACCACGATGATCAGGCCCCTACCAACTTTTCCAGGCTTATTTCACGATTGCATTTATTATTCCTGTTCTTCAGCAAAACAGATGAGTTACCCACCAGCCTTGTTTTTTCAACTGTTCCTTCTACCTAATATGCTTCCTTCCTCCACCTTTCTATCTTCCTTCTATAACTTCTGCGTTGTCTCAATTGAATTCAGCTCACAGGACCAGCACCTAGCACTTGCACTTGTATTTTCCCATTTCCCAAACACTGAACTTCACCTTTGTGAAGCCCCGCCCAGTCTGCAACCTGAAGAGATGTCTATTCTCTATGCACTGTAGCACTTTGTATGGATGGGTGGACATGGTCTTTCATAGACGATATGGCAAGGCTGCGAATAGTCCCCCCACTATGTTTCCTCTTCTCCTATATGAACAGAAACTGTACCTTCTGGTCTCCCCACACAAGAACCCAGAGGGCTCACTACCATGCTATCACATCAAACCTGAACTCCTCGGCCTGCCTGCCCAAGAGCCATTATTTGGGGTCTACCCCCCTTATCTAACCTTATTTTCCACTGCTTTTGAAACGATCTGTATTCTCATGATATTTTGCTCAGACCTCCACTGAAGGTTTCACGTTACATTGTTCCCATGTCTCTCTTCCCTGTTAGCCAGGATTCCAGAGTGTACCTTAGCCCCCAGAGGACTCAGCACAGAGCACAGCACCCAGTAGGTACTTAAAAGGGGTTTGGTGGGTAAGCAGACTGTCACTGAGGATAAAATCAGACAGGAAGCTATTGAAGCAAACTAGCCATCAAGTGACAGCAAAAGGAGTGGAGAAGTCCCCCTCTTACACGCTCTTAGAGCTCCTTGTACTTCTGTTCCACAACACTTAGCTCAACTCATCTAATTGTGTGATCTGTTTAACGTCCGTGTCCTCATCCTGTGTAAGTACCCTGCGCCAGAGGCAGCGCTTGATCCTGGCTATAGCCCAAGGCACCATGTCTGGCCTGAAGGAGTTCAAGGAATGTGCCCTGGACATTTGTTGAAGGAATGGAAAAGAAACGTCCTTTTAACGAAGCTGGACCCCTCCCTCGTCCCTGTACCCCCTCAGCAGCCAACACTCCCGCTTCCCTCTTGCCGGCACGCGCTGTCCTCTGCTACACAAACCTACCTTCAAAGCCTCGCCTACCTTTAAAGTCCCACTTGCTTCATGAAAACTCTCCTGACTGTTCCAGATCCTTTATCTATCTCTGATGATTTATCTCTGACCTCCCATCACATCTATATTCTACACAAAACCAGTGATTTCTTAATGAGATCATTATTGCTTTGCTCTCTAGTTGCTTCTGGTATTAAAAATCTTTTCTCCCCAGCCAGATATGGCCCCCTGTAGAGACACACGATTAACTTCCCTTGTATCATCCAATGCCTGTACAATACAGAGTACACAGATGGCTCTTAATAAATACTCACTGGTTGTTTGGGGGAAGATGAAGCCAGGTACCAGCTTTATGAGAAGGGAAATCAATTCTTCCAAAACACCCTATTCCTTGTATGTGATCTTCATCAGAGCAATTCAGCTGACTTAGAGATGAGCACATCTGTACTTTAATTTATAGTAAATATGTCTTGAAGCTGAAAATATGATAGTACTAAAAATCAAATGCTATTTTAAACTTAGGAGCAGCTTACCAACAGAATAAATCCAACTTTGAGTCATTTTTCTAAGGCAAATGATTTCTCTCCCAAATCTTCATTTATCATATACTAAAATAACATTTTATTCTCTCAGGATTGCTTATTATAAAGAGAATAGGACTTGGGAAAGATAAGGAGCTCTGAGGACAAAACATCTGGAGGAAATTCTCATTCTGGCTCATACTGAGGGTGTCATCTATTCTCCTCAAACTTAGCCTCCATATTCACTGCTCAAAGCTGGTTTGTAAAGGATAATTTGTGTCCCAAATTATTAGAGTGATAAACAAAAATAGAAAATGGGGGAAAACAAGATATACTTGGCATCAGTTCCTACATTCATTCATTCGTTTACTCATCCAATAATGTTTAGTGAGCATCTATTATATGCCACATATTAGACTAGGCACTGTGGGAGGCTGTAAAATGAATCAGAAAAGCTTACACTGTCCACTAAGGGAAGAAAATGAAAGGCAGACAGTACTGAATGCCCTAATAAAAGAACAAATAAAATACTGTAAGAATTCAGAAAAGAGAGAACATTCTTTCCTCTGGGAGAATCAAGAAATTTTCTTGGAACATGATGCATCTGAGATGGGTCTCAAAACATAGGTATGTCTTTGACATGCAGAGATGTGAAGAACGGGAACCTAAGTTCAAATAACAGGATGGGCAAAGGCCCATTGGAGTTAATCTTCTCTTTGGCTAAGGTACAGTAGAGGGGAAAAAAAAAAAAAAAACAACAGGAAATAAGGTTAGAAAATTAGTCAGGGCCAAATGTAAAGGGGCTTGAAGAACAAGCCAAGGCATGTACACCTTTGTGAATAGAGCAGAACTTCTCAAACTTTAAAGTGCATACCAATCACCTGAGTCTCTTGTCAGGGTGGATCTGGGGATGAGACCGGAGATTCTGCATTTCCAACATCCTAAGTGGTGCCAATATTGGGAGACCACACCTTGAGCATCAAGAACATAGACAGTGGGAAGCCATTGCACAGAGAACCCACCCGATCTCCAATGTGTTCCAGGAAGGCTATATCTGGTAAGAGTGGATCGGGCAGACTGGAATGGGGAGAAGCCATTTCTGGACCCCAACACTGGTTGTTCGTTAGAATCATCTGGAAAGCTTTTACACCATACTGTTACCCAGGCCCCACTCCCAGAGATTCTGACTTAATTGCTCTGGAATGGGGCCCAGATTTCAGCATTTCAAAAAAGTTCTCCAGAGAATTCTAATGTGAAGCCAGAGTTGAGAACCTCTGCTGTGGATGATAACAGTGAGTAATGTGATCATTCAGACAAGGATGATGATCTAAACTAGGGCAATGGCAGTGAGGACAGAGTGAAAGGGCCACTTGCATAAAATGCTACACAAGGAACAGACCATGTGAGCAGTGAGTCAGATGTATGGTGACAGCATCATTCATTTCTTCCAGTTAAAGACAGTTTGGTCAATTGGTTAAGAACACAGACTCTGGAGGGCGCCTGGGTGGCTCAGTCGTTAAGCGTCTGCCTTCGGCTCAGGTCATGGTCCCAGGGTCCTGGGATCAAGCCCCGCATCAGGCTCCCTGCTCAGTGGGAAGCCTGCTTCTCCCTCTCCCATTCCCCCTGCTTGTGTTCCCTCTCTCGCTGTGTCTCTCTCTGTCACGTAAATAAATAAAATCTTTAAAAAAAAAAAAAAGAACAACGACTCTGGAGCCACACTGCCTGGGTTTGATTCCCAGCTCTGCTATTGATTTACTAGAGGTGTGTGTGTGTGTGTGTGTGTGTGTGAGAGAGAGAGATCTTAGGCAATTGCCTTAACTTCTTTAGGATGCAGTTTCCTCATCTGTAAATTGAGGATACAACAATGACCAACATACAAACTTGTGGAGATTAAATGAGTTCTCATATATGTAAAACCCCTAGAACCATGTTTAGCACACAGGAAGTGCTCTGAAAGTGTTTGCTGTTATTATTAGCACGGTCCACCATCTCTTGGGACCCCTCCAGGATCCTGACCTGCATATAGGACCCATCTGGAAAAGGAGAAGTCCTTGAGGGCTCTCAACCCTCAGCCAATTTGAAGTCCCCGGGGCACTTTGCATGAATGCGCAAAGATCTAGGTGGCACACCCCGCCTCACCCGCCTCCCCAGCCCCATTCCCAAGGTCCCTGCGAGAAACAGCCACAGGGTCCCTACTTGAACTGCTGGTCCTTGGTGCTGCGCGTCTTGGCCAGGAAGCGCTCGGCCAGCTTCTCCAGGTTGCGGGAGTAGTCCATCTCGATCTCTGCCTTCTTCCGGAAGAAGTCCTGCAGGTCCTGCAGCAGCTGCACCCGGAGCTCACACTGCTGGTCCAGGCATTTCATCTGCTCTGTGAGCTGGGCACGGATTTCTGCAAAAGAAACAAAGTCAGACCGTCAGATGGAGGTCCCTAAAAACAAAACGGAACAAAACAAAAACATACGGGGGCGCCTGGGTGGCTCAGTTGGTTAGGCGGCTGCCTTCGGCTCAGGTCATGATCCTGGAGTCCCTGGATCGAGTCCCGCATCGGGCTCCCTGCTCGGCGGGGAGTCTGCTTCTCCCTCTGACCCTCCT